TCTTGACCCACCTATTAATACAGTATGTGGTAAGCCTACTTAATAGATAACGGAATGGAACATATGAATATAAAAATGGAATGGAAGGGATGACCTATGTAGAATGGAACAGAAATAGTTAACATAGAGGAAGCGATTCATACGTTTGGTGATTTAACTCACCTACAGTTAACGAACACGTCATTTAGTTTTATACCATGTAACTGGATACCTGCTCGGGGAAAGGGTAATACCGGATGAAAAAGAGGCTAAATATCAAAGACTATATTACGTCAACATCAATGTTATATACTTAACATACATCCCAAATTTGGCTACTGACCTAATAAGCCCTTTGTTTAATTTCGATGTCAAAAAAAAAAAAAAAATTCACTGCACCAGATTGATACTACCCAATAATACAATTTTGTTCTTCCCTCTCAAGCTTTAGAATATTAGTATTTTTTATATATTTTCAAACAAATTTGATTTAGATTTTCCCGAACGTGTGGCCGCGAAGAAGAGCATATGGACATGTCCCACATGAGCATTCATATACTTGTATCTAGAATGACAATTCAACAGATTATAATCATTCGACTCATTTAATACTATAGTAATCATCTAATCATTATTTACCTATACAATCTTTTGTTTCTCCCTCAAGATCCAGTAATCCTTTGCCTCCATTTCAGAGAAATCAGCATTGATTAATTTTTTTTTTTTTAACTCAATATTCGATATCTTAGAATAAAACCAAAAATAAGATGATATCTAAATCTCCGAATTGCTCAATTTCAGAGAAATCATCAATGACTAATTTTTAACTCAATATTCAATATCTTAGAATAAAACCAAAAATAAGATGATATCAAAATTTCAAATGAATAAAACGGGTCAAGTATTTCAGATCTATAAAATTTAGCGGATAAAAAAATAATAGAAAATCAGGTTCTAGTGATATAATTTAACACTCCAAAACATATGTTTGAGTAAAAAAAAATATATAAAATGGTATAAGATATTGTACAATTTATGTTTTACAGATATAGTATATAATGCTATATTCCCACATAATTTATAAAATACACTTAAATACAAAATTTTGAGATAAAATAGAAAATATTTTTATTGGTATATCTTTTAAATTTTTGTCTTCAAACTAATCTGATGTTATGATGCCAATGCATATAATTATATATCAAGAATATTGTAAATTAAATATTATAGATAAATATAATATAATAAATGAATACATAAATAGTTTAAATATTAAAAATAGATTATTTGTTATATGTAAGTAGGAAACAATACAAACTCATAAAAAACAAGTTGGTCAACTATATTATCAAAACACATTAAATTATAAGCCTATGTGTTATTTTCTAAAGATAAATCAAATAATATAAAGCACATATAAAAAAATTCCAAAATTGCTATATGATATTGCTTCTGTTTTATTTAAACTGTCATTTTAAATCTATGCATACATATAAAGAAAACATTTAATTTTTCATTTTAATATATTTAAAAATATCATTACCATACTCATAACCATATTTCAATTAATAAAAAAAAATAAACTGAAGAAATTTTTTTAATAAATTTTATATTGAAGTGCTAAAACAATACTTATTTTGTAACAGAAATTTTTTGTCTACAATGACACTTAATATGAAATGAAAATAGTATTAGTGGTAATGATTCTTAATTTTTTTTTCTACATAATAGAACTATTAATGGTTTAAAAATAGTTTATTATATTTAAAAAGCAGCCTGTTCATTACTCTCTCTCTATTTCAAAATAAGGCATATTGTAGAATGTCACTCTTATTAAGAAAATACGTAATTTTTTTTATAACTAATGTATTATTTTCTGTATTTGGTTATTTCCTATAATTTTTAACTAATCAAAATTCAATAAAAATAATTAATATTTTTGAGGGTTGTAATTTGCCATTATTATTTATATTAAAAATGTAAAACATAGAGTTTTTAAGAAAATTGTTTTTTCTAAAAAACATGGACCATTCTGAAACGGAGGGAGTACATACATAAAATGTTGAATGTGAGTATAAACCTCTCATTCATAGCCTAAGATGCATATATAGAATATTTGTTCATATTTTTCACACATACATGATCTATTGTAATAATTTATGGTGGCATGGTTTATTGATAGTTTTGTAGACGATATAGACTAATTAAAGAGAAATTAAAAATAATTGATATTTTATTCTATCTTTCTCATATTTAATTGTTTTTTTTATGATTCACCAGCACTAAGTTGTTGAAAATATGACCTTTGTCACAAAATATTTTTTGAAAATATGACAAATACATACACGTAAGGAGGTGTATTCAACTTAGAGTTTGAGGTGTTATTCAAACATGAATTTTAAAATTTTATTTAGATTTTATTGATATTTCATAAAATACTTTGAAACCCGTTGTTATTTAATTAATTTCAAATTTTAGAATTTTAAAGTTTTCATGTGATTTTAAAGTGTTTGGATGAAATTTCTTTGTTAAAAAAAAATCAAATCCCATGAATTTATATGATATCCTAGGTAGATTAATAAAATTCATTTTAAACTCTATAATTTATAAAAATCATCAAAATCATTAAAAATCCATATCATCTCAAATTTTAAGTTGAAAATATCTCTAGAAATGAATCTGTAATATAGGAAGTATATATAGTTCTCGCAAGAAAAAAATAAAATGAAAAGAGTAAACAATTTTTTTTATAACATAAACTAAAAGCCACAATTTATAATATACTTTTCCATTAAAAACTGAAATTGAATAGCATTAAGAAAGAACTGAAAGTTAATTCAAATTCTCACAATAACTGAAAAAATATCAGAATGTGATACTACAATGTTTATATATCGCAGCCAAATGTTACAATCGAAAATAGAGAAACTAAAGAGAAGTTAACATACACATATCAAACACAATGACAAACACAAATTTAAGGAATAGTGAGTGATGAGAATCTAACTCATGTTCAATAAAGGAGTTTTATCTAGCACTTGTTATGATGTTATTAAGTTCTTTAATCATTGTTATTTTCATCTTTCTTTTGAAGTTAATTAATATACAATGCATATATGCTCATGTCATGTGGAACATCATTCCTCCTCTATCTTTCTTTTCATTTTGATTTTAAATATTTTGCTTCTCACTTTTCTAGAGATTCGTCACTTCCAAGTCTTTTATGTATCTCTCGTGTAGCAACGTTTTCTGAACCCTAGGAGCTGCATTCTGAAATACGAAACCGGTAAAACAATGTATCTATTGGCTCTGAGTGCATGCCACAAATGGCGACTTTGTTTAGCGAGAAATATTTACTCTCCTTTCAAGAAATTTCACCTATTTACTCTATAATAGTTACTCCCACTTCCTCTACTACTATTAATTACTAATCGCATTCTATAAACTCTCTCCCTCCGTTTCATTTTATTTGTCATTCTAGTTTTTTACACACAGATTAAAGAAATATTTAATTTTACATATTTCTAAGATAAAAACACAATTACCTATACACCTAACCACTTTTCAACAAATAGAAAATTAGAATATTATATAAAACTAATAAATTTTACCTCGAAACTTTAAAACGACACTTAATTTATGACAAAAAAAATAAGTCTAAAATGACATATATTTTAAAACGGAGGAAGTAGAAATCAGTCCAAATTGTTTTTTTCTTCACCAAACAAGTGAAAAAGGAATTTTGCACGTGTTGAATTTTTATTGTGAAAAATAGAAAAGCAGAATACACACACCACACACACACACACATATATATATATATATATATATATATATATATATTTTTTGCCAAAATGAGGAGGGAAATATAGTACGTATATCTATGTAAAAAATGCATTTTCCTCTTTTCATGTTTTCTTCATCTTATTTCCTCTAAATAACATAGCCAATTTTTTTTTTCTTCATTGCTTCCAATTAAGTTCTTACCGTGTTGGAAATTTCTCAACCATATTATGTTTTATTGGTATAATGTATACCACCTTCTCTTTAACGAAGCAGTGCACTGGTAGAAAGGATAATTTTATTGTTATCTTTATAACTTCTTAGATCTCAGAACCGACATGGTCTTGTTACAAAACATAAAATACCATTATGGATGCAGTATTTGGGCAACACTGATCATATATATATATATATATATATATTTAAACTTAATTAACACTGATCATATTACTAACTTATGTCGCTTATTTTTACCATAAGTCATTGAAGGCATCAAGTATACTAACCGTTTAACTTGTAAATATTCGAATTAAATAAAACAAGATTTTATCATTTCTCAAAAAAAGAAGATTTTATCACTATTGCGACCAATGTGCGGAAACTGTATGATAGAGAAACAACGTGGCATTGTCTGCTACATGTCCACATCTCTTGTTTGGTAGTGGACTGTGTTATTATTGGCACAGACCAAACCCACTTCCTTTCCCATTTCTTCATTAGATTTTTTTCTCTCTTGAAAATTGATGGGCAATAGGAAACACAATTTCAATTTCTCTCTCCTCTCAAAAGAACCAATAGTCCCTACTCCGTTGTGTATCTCTTTTTCTCTCTCCATTTAGTAAAGACCTAAACTTTATCGTCTTTTCTTGCTGGGTTTAATCGCTTCTTAAATTGGTGTTAGATCAATTTCCCACTTTACTTTTGTTGCTTGTAGACTTAAAAGACTAGTCTAGTAGGTTTTGGTGGGCTATTACAAAAGAAAAATAAAAAATAAAGATGAAAAAGTCAAAGTCAAAAATTTTAAAACTTTGAACGAGCTATTTTTATTTATCATCGTCATCTTCCTGCTCTATAGCTTATGATTAACTTATGAGAAGTTAAAGCTATGATTATTTCTTTAATCAAATAGCTAGGGCTTTGGAGAGAGAGAGAGGGGTTAGAAAAAAGTTTTAATCTTTGTTTAAGAAAAAGTTAAAACAAGATTAGGGTTTCATTTCAGAAGCTCAAAGATCAAACAGATGGAAGAGGTTAGAGAGAAGAAAGATGATAAAATGGAGATGGGAAAAAAACAATCATCAGCTAACCAAAACATTCAAGATCATCTTCTTCCTCCTCCGTACACTTACTCCCAAACCGCCGACAAACAGAAACCCACCACCAAAAGAAACGGGTCGGATCCGGATCTTGATACCAACCCAATTTCTATAGCTCCAGCTTCAAGGTCACACGCTCACCCGCAAACTACTTCTCCGACAGGAACTGTGAGGTACAAAGAATGCCAAAAGAACCACGCGGCGAGCTCCGGCGGAAAGGTGGTCGACGGTTGCGGCGAGTTTATGTCATCAGGTGAAGAAGGCACGGCGGAGTCACTTCTTTGCGCCGCATGTGATTGTCACCGGAGCTTCCACAGAAGGGAAGTCGACGGCATGTTCGTCGTCAGATTCAATAGCTTTGGTCGTCATTCACAGAGACCGGTCGTTAACCACCAGGTGTCTCCGATCATGATGAGCTTTGGTGGTGGCGGAGGAGGAAGAGATCCGGCGGAGTCATCCACGGAGGATCTCAACAGGTTTCATCAGTCTTTAAGTGGGAATGGAGTGGAGCAGTTTCAATATCATCCCAAGAAGCGGTTTAGGACAAAGTTTAATCAAGAACAGAAGGAGAAAATGTACGAGTTTGCTGAGAAGATTGGTTGGAGAATGAACAAGACAGAAGATGAAGAAATTAACCGGTTTTGTCGTGAGATTAATGTGCAAAGACAAGTGTTTAAAGTTTGGATGCACAACAATAAGCAAGCTGCCAAGAAGAAAGAAACGTAAGAGACTTTTAACTTTATATATGTACTCTTTGTTATAAAATGTTTTCTGATTTTTACCGCAACAAGAGAAGCCTTTTTCCTAGACGGATTCATATATGTATTTTGACGATCGCTTCACCTTATGTCCTTGGTTTCTTTGAATTTTTTGGACGCTAAATTTTTGGTTTTGTGTTAGATTTCATATACTCAATTGATCCGCGTCCATTGTTATGTTTGTCTCTACCATACTTCATTGTACGTTTGCCTCCGAGTTTCTTTGGCACTCCTCCACCTCTTTTTGGCTCCTTCATAGGCTTCACTGTTCTTCTTCGTCACCATTCTGATCACAGCCGATCTTGTCATACTCATACCGTAACTCAACCTATGCAAAGTCTTCTGCATTTTGAGCCTTTATTACGTTAAGCTATGTCTTTGGCGTTGCTTACTTTCTTGTAACTTGTAAGCATAGTTTTTGAGCGATGGGCGGCATTTATAGGCTCCTTTTTCTTACTACCTCTAAATTCATATACTCCTACTACTAAGTAGGGCCAAATACGTGCTTATTCTCCAATGAGGTGACCAAATCTAAACATGAAAAAATGAGATGACTATGGAGGAGAATATCAACGTAACAGGATTTGGCGGGGTGGGTACATAAGGGACTGGATGGGCCAAAAAGTGGGTTTCAGAAATTACTTACGTGGTGATTTTGTCGGAGAGACCCAACCAGCCCATGAAGCCTGGCTTGTCTTTAGCGTCTTCAGCAGCCTCCGTCGCCATTTCGGCAGCTCGCGTCCTTCACCTGTCATCCCCTTCTGCCGCGTTCAGCACCACCAGCAGTGCCAAAGCCTTTCTTCTCTCCATCATCTCTTTAACCAGTGATTAGGATCAAACTTTCTTTGACCAAAACCTTTGTTTTGTCTTTTTAATGGTTTGATTCTAGTTTCAATGTCCTCGAAAGTTATCAAGTTATTGAGAGAAGTTTGTAAAGCAGAGACCAGAGGTCTTTTTGAGAAGCAATAACTGTTCACCACGTGGTATAACTTGGTTACGTGGCAGCCAAGGATACGGTTTTGTTGAGGAAGTGTCTCTGCATATTCGCCACGTATCTTATAATGTCACAGTGCCGTATCACGCGGTTATAACCGGTTTATTTTAGATTAAAACTTAAAAATCTGACCAATTCCAACTTAACCGAATATGAAAATTTCGGTGTTTCAATTTAAAAAAAAAAGAAAAAAAATCAAAACTATGGTTAAGAAACAAACCATACATACAGAAGCGCAGTGACTACGCGTACAGAAACGATTGGCCACCTTCAGTCGCAAGTCTGGCTCTCTGGTGGTGTTCTTGAATTTTGTAATCCACAATCTCTTCAAAAAGCTGTGAATCCAAGACGCAATCTGGTCTTCCGTACACCGCAGCTTGAACACCAGCGACAAGCTTAGCAATCTCACGACCAGAGAATCCTTCTATCTTTTTCGCAGCCTCTCTAATCACTTGGTCGGTTAAGTCTCCTTCAACGGTTATCTTCTGTGCCTGCTTCTTGAAAAAGTGGCTCCACTTCGTGTTTGTGTCTTTGTCACTCCCTTCACCCGTTAGGTACTTGTTGAGATAGAGTTTAATGAGCTTGAAGCGTTCATCTTCACCAGGGAGAGGAAACTCGATAACTTCGTCGATCCTGTCAGTGACTGCACTGTCGAGATCACCGGGTCTGTTTGTGGCCAGGACCAGAACTATGTCCCGTGACTGATCACCCGTTCTAAAGAGCAATGCGTTCAGAGCGCTACGCTGAGCCTCGCTCATATACGTGCTGTTACGTCTGCAATAAAACATTCAAGAACTTGATTAACTATTACAATAAAATATTGAAAGGCTTTCAGAAAGAGGTAAGAGTGTCTTACTCGCAGAGGAAAGCATCAGCTTCATCGATGAAAAGCAATAAGCCTTTGTTTGATTTCTTAGCCCAATCAAATATCTCATGGATTTTTGTAACAGCCTGTGCACCCAGTGGAGCGACATCTCCTCCTGTCATCATAGCATAATCAAGACCCTGCAGCACAATAAAAGCAAACATCTGTTACAAGGTGAAGGCTCAAGAATATAGTAGATCAAGGATGAGGAAACAAATAGGCTCACCGACTTCCGAGCAATCTCTCTGGCCACCATTGTTTTACCAGTACCAGGAGGACCATAAAACATCATGTTGCGGAATGGAGCTTGATGAGACTTAGTATTTGCTGTCGCTCTAGCAAGATGTTCAATTCTCTTCTTTAGAGAAGGATGGAGAATAACATTATCCAGTGGATTCTCTCCTTTTGCAGATGCAGCTTTACCAAACTTTGAGATTTTGTTCTTATACTGAGACACTGAGCCTGCCCATGGAAATCTACCCATGGAGGATTCTCGGATAAGTGACGGCTGTCCAAGTATCCGGTTAATATAACCCCATGTAACCCTAGCACCCTCTCTGTATTCATAAAAGAACCATGTAAAAAATCAATAATAATATGCTTCTTAAATCACAACAGCTAATAATATAGGTTTCTCAAAATGACCAACAAAATATCTAGTTAGGAGATGCATACCGGGTTGTGTAAACCCCAGCGGCTAAAGCTGTAGCTCCTGCAACAGTCATAATCAGCTTATTTCGGTCAGTTAATAAGGCCTTGACTCCCCCTGCCAAGTTCAATATAGACAACGTTGTTATCATCTAAAATATTAATCAAAATGTTACTTGTTTCAGAACAAAGTAAGAAGTGGATATACAATGCTTATGAGTTCCATCATACCTTCAATGTGACTGAAGGTGGTGTTGATAGCTGCAAGCCATTTCTCCCTTTCACCATTGATCTTATCAAGGAGCATTCTCCGATTCTGCTCCTCAGTAAGTTTGGCTTCGTGAGCTCGGCCTTCAGCCTCAGCCATGGCTTTGACGCGAATGGTTTCACGCTCAAGCTCAGCTCTCTCTTTCTCAGTCTGACGCTGCTGCGCTTGAATCTGTTCTTCCGTGGCGATTCTTGCTTTCTCTTTCCGTATAGAAGATTCCTCTTGCATCTTTACCAACTCAACATTATGCTGTCTCTGGACTTCATGATCCGTCTGCAAAAGTTCCAAGTCAAACAATATTCTCAAGGACCCTTTTAAACAGGTAAAAAGAACGTTCACTGTTTTCTTTTCTTACCTGAAGTCGCTTCCTCGCCAACTCATCTTCATAGCGAAGATTCTGCGCTTTTGCTTGTGCCTGCTGCTGCAATAGATTCCTCTGATCCTCAGCCAATTTCTGCTGTCTTTCCTAACCATTCAAAATCCCCATAAAAACAATCATATCTGTCGCCTTTTCCAGCTTAAAATGTTTATATTCACTGTAAGAAATCTAGATACTGCAACCAATGTTGCTGTAAATACCCTCAAGATTTAAAAGCCATAGACTATTTATTAAATATTTCAACTAATTAATTTTTTTAGGGGGTGTTTGCCCGGGATTGATACAGGATCAAGTAGTAACTCACGATGTCCTTGTGCGCTTGAACAGCTTCATTATGCGACTTATCAGCGGCTAGTTCAGCCAAACGAGTCTTCTCCTGCTTACACATTACATCGAACACCTACAAACAAAAAGTAACCATTACATCTCTCATCAACAAGAAATACATTTATCATCAATGATCCTCACCTGCTTGAAATGAGGAGAGGATTTGATCTCTCGAAGAGCTTTAGCGCCTCTTTCAAAGGACTCAGCATCGAAACCAGATCCTTTACGTTCATCAGCCTCCGGTTTGGTCTCCGACGAACTCTGATCGGTTTGAGACTCCGACGGCGGCGTAGAGGAGGAAGAAGAGAAGAAGGGGAAGCGAAATCGAGAGTCAGCGTAAGCTCGGTTCGGAGAAAAGGAGAAAGCAGCAGCAATCGCCGCCGCGGAACATAGTCTAAAAGCAGCCATTGTATTGTATTGTATTCGATTCTGGTGAGAGGAGCATAAACCCCCACGGTGGTTAGGGTTTAAATTGTCTTTTTCTTAGTCGGTGGTTAGGGTTTAAATGGTCTCACTTCTTTCTCCCGAAGTAAATCGAATCTACGATGGACTCAGCTCTAAATTTGGGCCCCTGTTTAAGCCCAATTGTTTCCTTCTCTCAGAGAAGTTAACCGGATTTAGCTACAATTTCACTCATTGGCCTGGGCGTTTTTATCCGAACCCAAAATACCTACCTAAACCTGAACCGGAAAAATCGAAACTGAATCCAAACCCTTATACAGAAACATCCGAACAGGACTTATGAGCTTAGTACTTTGGAGTTTGGTTATAATCTGAACCAAACCCAAATCCAAACTAGGATCCGAAGATATCCGAAATTAGCTAAATATGTTAGTATTTTTATATATGGTAGGGTGATTTAGATATTTTAGAGTATTCAAAATATTTTTTAGTTTATTTTATATGTTATTTTGACATTCTTAGTTAATTTAGATAGTTTAACTAAATTTTAATTAGATTTATAAATAACTAATATCTTTTAATAAATAATTTTGTCAATTTTTAAGGTTTAAAAATTAAAAATTTGGACGATTTTAAACGTTGGTTATATCCGATTTAAACCGAACATAGAAGGAACTAAACCGAATCGAACCGAACCTGATCTGATAATTAGTAAAACCCAAATGGGACTTCTGAGCTTAACACCGAAAATCCAAAAATCCGAATCACCCGGACTGATACCGAACGGGACACCGAATGCCCACGCCTATTCACTCAGTTGAACCCTACAACTATATAAGTACTACATTGTTGGAGGAACGTCACGAAAACGCTATGGTAGCGCAGCAAAATAAAGTTCACTGCACTTGTATTTGTGTCAACTTGCGAGAACTATTTTGAATATAAATCTAAAAAAGAAAAGTAAATGAAACCAAATTTTATTTTATGTAGTCGACTCTCTTGATATGAAGAACACCAACCGCCAGTGGGGGATGTAGAGAAAAAATTATATGGGTGCATAACTAAAGTTATACAAACAATTAGAGATAGAATCACTAAAAATAATGCATATTTGAAATTATATAGGATTTTGTATGTAAATTTGAATATAGTCCGGGGGCAGGTGCCCCCCTCTTGGACAATGTGGCTCGCCACTGCGACCCGCATGATCGTAATACATTCATATATTATATTCGACTAGAACATATGCCACGACCAATGGCTCCAAAGATTTATCTTTAACATACAAAAAAATTTACAAGAAAAACAATAATATAACTACAAACGAACAGCCACAACTACTTCAACTCACTAGAATTCCAGCCACTACCATAAGATAATCCCACCTTACAAATCCAAGATTTCAGGTTTACCAAAGAAGATCTTGCCGTTACGTTTCACAAACAAATAGCACCTGCTAAACGGAACTACATCGACCAAACACAAATGTAATGATTGCTCAAATATGTATCTATATAAATGTTTATTTTCGTTTTGTAGTACATAATATTTATGATAGATCGACAATTTAACTATCTGTAATTTCTTGGTTGCTCATATTGTGGTTGAATATTAAACATATTAAAATGATATAGTATATTCGTCAATTAGTAATTTTAATAACATTAACCATTTTTATGTACTTAGTTATAAACTGAAATATCAATTATTATGTTTATGTATATTAATTAAATCTATCTTTTCAAAATAGAATATTTTATGTCAAATAAAATACACTTATGTTTTAATAAAATAAATAGTTATGTCTTTAAGTTTTCAAAAGATAAATAATATTTATTCTATGTTTATATTTTAGGAAATATTAAATTAATTGTTTTTAATAATTATATATATATATATATATATATATATATATATATATATATATATATATATATATATGTGTGTGTGTGTGTGTGTGTGTGAATAATAATAATCATCAAATTAACATATATTTGAAAAATATTTTTATAATTTAAAAAAAATTATAGTTTATATTTTGTATATGAAATGAAATAATAATATACATGAACATATAATAATTAAATTTGTATATTATATTTAAATAAATATGTTTAAATTTATTGAAAAACAATGATTTGTTAAAACATATAAAATTATTATATGTTTAGAAAATAAGATAATTTGATTTGTTAACATATTTTTTGGGATATTTTCAAAATTAACTCAAAACATTAAGTCAACCACAAAACTAACCTATGTTTTTTAGATTAATCTCTAACATACGAAACTTTTACAAGAAAAGCAATAATAGAACTACAAACGAACAACCACAACAACTTCAGCTCACTAGGATTCCAGCCACCACCATAAGATAATCCCACTTTACAAATCCAAGATTTCAGGTCTACCAAGGAAGATTTTGCTGTTAGGTTTTACAAATCCAAGATTTCAGGTCTACCAAAGAAGATTTTGCTGTTAGGTTTCACAAATAGATAGCACCTGCTAAAGAGAACTACATCGACAAAACACGATGATTGCACAAATATGTATCTAGTCTTGGTGGCCTGGTGGTGATTAATTTGTGGGTAAAAAGCCCAATACGGTGAAGCCACCAAGAATTGAGTCCCGGTCACTGGGAAATTAACATTTCGGCATCGTCAGGGACATGAGACTGACATATGACTAGTCTGGATCGCTTCTGTAAGGTCAGGATACCCCTGTATAATTAAAAAAAAATATGTATTTATATAAATGTTTGTTTTTGATTTGTAGTATATAATATTTATGATAGCTCGACAGTTTAACTATCTATAATTTGTTGGTGGCTCATATTGTGGTTGAATATTAAACATATTAAAATGATATAGCATATTAGGTAATTAGTAATTTTAATTACATTAACCATTTTTATGTACTTAGTTATAAACTGAAATATCAATTATTATGTTTATCTATATTTATTACATCTATCTTTCCAAAATAAAATATTTATGTCAAATAAAATTCACTTATGTTTTAATAAAATAAAGAGATATGTCCTTAAGTGTTCATAAGACAAATAAAATTTCTTCTTAGTTTATTGTTTAGGAAATATTAAATTAAATAATTTCTTTATAATTATATATATTAATGTGAATAATAATAATCATCAAATTATTTAACATAGATTTGAAAATAAATTTATATGCTTTAACAAAAAACAATATAGTTTATATTTTGTATATGGAATGAAATAATAATATACATGAATATATAGTCATTAAATTTTTATATTATATTTAAATAAATCTGTTTAAATTTGTAAAATAATTATTTGTTAAAACATATAAAATTATTTATATGTTTAGAAAATAAAATAATTTTTATTTGTTAACACATTATTTTATTTGTTAAGTTTATTGTAAACAATGATTAGAGAATATTATGGTTACAAAATAATGATAAGTTTGGATAGAGAATAATGGTATGTTTGGTTAGAGAATAATTTAACAAGATAATTGATTTATTTAATTAATAATTAGTAAGTCAGTGGTATAAATTGTAATTATTTTGATGAAAGAATGGTTATTTTCAAAAGGTAATTCAGTTTTCATAATATAAATATATACTGAAAAATATATTCAAAATCATATTTTAAAAAATATTATTAATGTTTCACATGGCGCATAAAACATAGTAAAGTAATTATATAGAGTGAAAAACTAAGTGCCAATAAATATAATACATTATTATTATTATTATTATTTTCATTTAAGTTATTAATTTGTTCACATAAACTATTTCTTTGAATTATGTGCTTGCCTACGTAGTTTTTCACCAATTGAAATTAAGATAAAAAAAGTTCTGGTAAAACAGATTAAATCAAACTTAAACCATATGCAAAATCTGGTTATTTATATTTTTAGAATTGGCACGAAGTTAATGTTGATTAACTAATACATAAAACTCCACACTATTATTATGGTAATATAATTAACGGTGTGGTGTATTGTTATGGTAATATAATTAATGAAGCTGTTAAACTGAATAAAAATGGAATGACAATTAATGTAATAATTTATTGACAAAATATTAAGTCAGATTTTGTACTTCAGTTTTAATTATATAGACTAGATTTTGACCCGCACAACAATGCGGATTTTTGAATACTAAAATATTTTATGTTATACAAGAAAAATTATCAATATATTAAAATAATTTGATGTTATATATTATCTAAATTTATGATAATATTTATGTGGCTTATAAAATTATTATTTTAATATTTAAATTTTTTTCACTTAAAAAACTCTATGTGAAAGTTAAATTAAGTTGGACCAACATTATAAAAAATATTTTTTTTTAGAAATAATGCAAAAATTATTTTATATAATTTTAATTTGTATTATAAATAAAAAATGCATAATTGTTTTAATTATATTTTCTGATAATTTAAAATTTAATGAACTAATTCGAAAATATATTTGAAAAGATCTTAAAAAAGATATTGTTAGAATTTTTATTATATTTTTGTATTTCAAATAAAAATTAAAGATATTATAATGATATTATATAAAATCTAATAAATTTTCTAAGGAAGGTCTAAATTAAAAAATTACACATGAACTAAGTTATGACTTCTGTTTTAATAGAAAAATGTACTATTTTCAAAAAATGCCTACATGATAGTCATTACTGAGATATCACCCTGGCGAGAACGAGCTGCTTGGTATGACCATATACTGAAGGAAATTTCCCCATATTAACTGTTGAATCGAGAAAATTAACACCTAATAAAAATCAATACCTAATAACACAAAATCGTGTTGCAAATCTCTTCATTCCACAATAACTCAAATTTTTGGGTATTACTAAAAAGAGAAGCAAAACAAATTTAAAAATGTGTAAACGACAAAAGTAAAATAAAGGCTTCGAATAATAAAAGACCGCCCGCCCCGCACCGCACCACCATGAATAGTAAAAAAATCTCTACATATACCTATGTATCTATATGTTTTTATTACTATTTGAACCAGACAATAATTATTTCGCAGTTGTCCCGCATGTTACCATTTAGAGACTCTGTAACTTGGAAAATGAGACATGAAAAAAGGAAGGGAGAGCAATTTGAACCCGGTTACACCAAAATGTAGCTTGTAACCACTAGAAAATATTGTTAGATTGAAGTAAATTACTAAACCTGATAATTAAAAGTAAGACTAAAACTATTCTCCGTGTAATCTTTGATTTTTTGGTAAATCTTTAGGTCCAAACATATCGTCCACTCTACCTATTCCCAGCACATATATTTTCTGTCGCATATATTTTTTCTCACAAAATTTAAAAACTAGTACTACTTTTATTGTATGTTGCATAAACATATGTATGTGTAACCTTTTCTTTATAGCTCATTATTATTATGTATTTGAATTCTTATGTTTAACAAAAACATTTCCATTCCATTAAAANCATTAAAACTTACATTGTATGTGCGACTGCATTTTTTTATTCCATTGGTATTGATTCCAATAATAAAAGATATGCAGCTGCACCTAAAGTAAAGAAACGTAAATTACATTGTATATGAGTAACAATTGATTTTATGGAAACATATTAAGTCCATTTATACTCTAACTTAGGCACTTCTTGACCATGCGTGAAATAAATCCTATTTTCTCTTGCATCCCAATAGTTCTTCTTACCATGATCAAATGCACCAGTACTACCTTCAAATGCCCTAATCATTACAGAAGGTCCACGGATCTGGCGAAATGTACAATCAATTTTGTTCTTAGGAATAAATTTATCATGAAAGGCAAAATCATCAGTTTCTCCTGGTTTTAAGAAAATGTGTAGATGACAAAAGTAAAAGAAAGGCTCCGAATAGTAATAGATCGCCCCGTCCTGCACCGCACCACCATGAATAGTAAAAAAAATCTCTACATATACCTATGTATCTATATGTTTTTATTACTATTTAAACCGCATAGTAACTATTTCACAGTTGTCCTGCATGTTACCATTTAGAGACTCTGTAACTTGGAAAAGGAGACATGAAAAATGGAAGGGAGAGCAATTTGAACCCGATTACACCAAAATGTAGTTTGTAACCACTAGAGAATGTTGTTAGACTGAAGTAAATTAGTAAACCTGATAATTAAAAGTAAGACTAAAACTATTCTCCGTGTAATCTTTGATTTTTTGGTAAATCGTTAGGTCCAAACCGATCGTCCAACTCACACCTAACCTATTCCCAGCACATAAATTTTCTGTCACATATATTTTTTCTAACAAAATTTAAAAATTAGTACTACTTTTATTGTATGTTGCATAAACATATGTATGTGTAGTATTTTCTTTATAGCTCATTATTATTATGTATTTGAATTCTTATGTTTAACAAAAACATTTCCATTCCACTAAAACTTACATTGTATATGCGACTGGAATTTTTTATTTCATTGGTATTGATTCCAATAATAAAAGATATGCAGCTGCACCTAAAATAAAGAAACGTAAATGACATTGTATATGAGTAACAATTGATTTTATGGAAACATATTAAGTCCATTTATACTCTAACTTAGGCACTTCTTGACCATGCGTGAAATAAATCCCATCTTCTCTTGCATCCCAGTAGTTCTTCTTACCATGATCAAATGCACCACTACTACCTTCAAATGCCCTAATCATTACAGAAGGTCCACATATTTGGCGAAATGTACAATCAATTTTGTTCTTAGGAATAAATTTATCATGAAAGGCAAAATCATCAGTTTCTCCTGGTTTTAAGAAAAATGTGCCAATTTGTTCACCATTCCATTTACAAAAAATTTAGAGCTCGTTTCCTGGAACAATAGAGTTTTTAAGTATATGTGATTTTGCGCAAAAAGTTTGGCGTTACATAACCCAATAGACAATACCATGTTAAACAAAAAGCACAAGAAACGATTTATCATTAGGGATATACATATTTTAAAAATAAGATATGCTAATTTATACAATGGTATCTATACATACACACATACACACATATGTATTATAAATGTATTTTGTGAAAATTAATTAACCCTTTATATTATTCTGAATCTGGATAATACGAGTGAATGAATGGTGATCAAAGTGACTTTTGGTTGGTTTGGTATTATATTATGACCTTTTAATTATATTTTGACTATGATCGTAAGCGATTAATGCAAAATCTCGTTATTATGAATTTCGATAATTTGTTTTTGTGTTTTTATCTGAAAAAGTGTTTTACAGCACTCCCAAGGTTTCTTTCTTTTTTTTTTAATAAGATTTTAAGGTTTTTAGATATTAAAATATTAACAAAAAGAGAGAGAATACCAAATAAAGTTTTATAGAGGACTTTCAAGAACAGTTTTAGAATTTGTGTTGCCATATGTCATCATATATATGGCTCATCATTTTCAAACAAAATAAATTTTAATCAGAAAAATAAAGGGAAATCGGCAAAAAAAACATGAACTTTGCACGAGTTGCCAAAAAAATATATACTCGAGCCTAGCAAAATAATACTTTACTTTTGTTGAATTTTCTAGTTTATTTTTTGTGTTTCAAATGAAAATGAAAGATATTATAATGATGTTATAGAAAATCTAATAAATTTTCTAAGGATGGTCTAAATAAAAAAATTATACATGAACTGAGTTATGACTTCTGTTTTAATATAATAGATGTACTACTTTTTAAAATGCCTACATGATAGTCATTACTGGGACAGTCACCGTGGCGAGAAGGAGCTGCTTGGTATGGCCAGATACTGAACGAAATTTCCCCATATTAATTGTGGAATCGAGAAATTTAACACCTAATAAAAATCAATACCTAATAACACAAAATCGTGTTGCAAATATCTTCGATCCAAAATAACTCAATTTTTTTTGGTATTACTAAAAAGGGCATCAAAAAAAAATTAAAAATGTGTAGACGAGAAAAGTAAAAGAAAGGCTCCGAATAGTAATAGACCGCCCCGTCCCGCACCGCACCACCATGAGTAGTAAAAAATATCTCTACATATATCTATGTATCTATATGTTTTTATTACTATTTGAACCCCACGGTAACTATTTCACAGTTTTCCTGCATGTTACCATTTAGAGACTCTGTAACTTGGAAAAGGAGAAATGAAAAATGGAAGGCAGAGCAATTTGAACCCGATTACACCAAAATGTAGCTTGTAACCACTAGAGAATGTTGTTAGATTGAAGTAAATTAGTAAACCTGATAATTAAAAGTAAGACTAAAACTATTCTCCGTGTAATCTTTGATTTTTTTGGTAAATCTTTAGGTTCAAACATATCGTCCACTCTACCTATTCCCAGCACATATATTTTCTGTCGCATATATTTTTTCTCACAAAATTTAAAAACTAGTACTACTTTTATTGTATGTTGCATAAACATATGTATGTGTAACCTTTTCTTTATAGCTCATTATTATTATGTATTTGAATTCTTATGTTTAACAAAAACATTTCCATTCCATTAAAANCATTAAAACTTACATTGTATGTGCGACTGCATTTTTTTATTCCATTGGTATTGATTCCAATAATAAAAGATATGCAGCTGCACCTAAAGTAAAGAAACGTAAATTACATTGTATATGAGTAACAATTGATTTTATGGAAACATATTAAGTCCATTTATACTCTAACTTAGGCACTTCTTGACCATGCGTGAAATAAATCATATTTTCTCTTGCATCCCAATAGTTCTTCTTACCATGATCAAATGCACCAGTACTACCTTCAAATGCCCTAATCATTACAGAAGGTCCACGGATCTGGCGAAATGTACAATCAATTTTGTTCTTAGGAATAAATTTATCATGAAAGGCAAAATCATCAGTTTCTCCTGGTTTTAAGAAAAATGTGCCAATCTGTTCACCATTCCATTTACAAAAATTTGGAGCTCGTTTCCTGGAGCAAGAGAGTTTTTTAAGTATATGTGATTTTGCGCAAAAAGTTTGGCGTTACCAAACCCAGTAGACAATATCATGATAAACAAAAAGCACAAGAAACGATTCATCATTTTAGTCAATAGATGTTTTTTGTTAGGGATTTATGTATTGTAAAAATAAGATATGCTAATTTATACAATGGTGTCTATACATACACACATACACACACACACATATGTATTATAAATGTATTTTGTGAAAATTAATTAACCCTTTATATTATTCTGAATCTGGATAATACGGGTGAATTGATGGTGATCAAAGTGACTTTTGGTTGGTTTGATATTGTATTTTGACCTTTTAATTATATTTTGACTACGATCGTAAGCGATTAATGCAAAATCTCGCTATTATGAATTTTAATTTTTTTATGTTTTTATCTGAAAAAGTGTTTTACAGCATTCCTAACGTTTATTTTTTTCATAGGATTTTTAAGGGTTTTAAATATTAAAATAATAACAAAAAGAGAGATAATACCAAATAAAGTTTTATAGAGGACTTTCAAGAACAGTTTTAGAGTTTGTGTTGCGCCGATTGCTAGCGTATCCAGTTCCCTGGCTACCCAATGGCTTTTGCTCATGATGCTCAAGGTACTACTTCTTCATACCATTAGATTCTTTGTCCATATGTCATCATATATATTGCTCATCATTTTTTTTTTAAAAAAAATTTTAATCAGAAAAGGAATTCGGCCAAAAAAACATGTACTCGAGGCTTGCCAAAAAAATATTTTACTTTTGTTGACTTTTTTAGTTTATCAAGTGATTTAAGATTGACTGACCATATTAACACGTCGTGAACCCACAGTTAAGACAGTGTTCACTAGACGTTAAATGTTGGTGTTAAGTAAACACCATCGTTTTCAAATGAGATGAAGCGATATCATTTTACATGCTTTGAAAATAAAAACAAGTAGACCCCTGGATTCGAACTCAGACGCTGGTTGGGTCAAATGACAAGGTATTTTACCATTGGGCTAGTGGCACTTTCAATAGAGTTACTAACACATTTAATTTTATTTGGTACTAATTGAATATAAAAAAAATTCTCTAAAAACTTTAAAAGATCTTTAAAATTCCAAAAATTTGAAAAAATAAAGAAATTTTTTGTAAACATAATTTTGAAATTAAAATTAACAATATAATTTTAGTTTTTCAATTTCTAAAACTTAAGTGCGATTTTAATTTTAGCTGATAATTGTAACTTTATTTTTTTGCATTTTCTTTGAACTTTTATTTTTTTTGGAATTTTGTTTTTAAAAGATGAAAATTTTGGAAGATTTTTGATTTTTAAAGAAAAAATAAAATTTATTTTAATTTTAGTCTCTAATTTATAAAAATTTTCTTTATTTCTTCATTTTTCTTTGGAATTTTAAAGATCTTTTTAAGTTTTTAGAGATTTTTTTTATATTCAATGAGTACCAAATAAAATTAAATGTGTTCGTAACTCTATTGAAAGTTGTTGGTGTCAAAATCGGTCACGACGGAATCAATGGCTAAAAGTCTCCGCAAAAATAAAAAGATGTTTTATAAACCTCGAGAAATCGTTTTATAAAACCCAAGAAGTCGTTTTATAAAATTTGAGAAATCGTTTTGTAAAACCCGATAAATCATTTTATAAATTCAAAAGAAATTTCCAAACAAAGGAAATCCGTGGAAAACTCGGAAATCGTTATCTTGGAAGAACGAAACAAACGCCGATTACATGATCGTCCGAGTTAAGCACAAAACCACGAAAAACCGCATCCGCCGTACTGATACACTAAAATTGGATCTTTGTCTACTGTCAAGTTAACAGTGTAGTTGTAATATATTTAGATTCAATTCCAGAGGACCAGCCTACACTTTATCTTTATGGGATCAAAATATAGCTAAAACAAGAGGGGGTTTTAAAGGTAAAAGAAATAACTTAAAAGACAAGTAACAAACGAAGGTTGTTTTCAAGAGGTTTAAA